GAGTCCAGGCAAGACATAAAATCAGCTTGGGGGGAATAGGTGGTACTTCTCTAGGTGGAAAGAAGTGGGCCAATTCCAGGGCTATTTGGGAATTAAACTGGAAAAGACGGGATGGTTTGGAAATGGGAGGAGGGAGGGAGAGGGAGAAGTTGGAAAGGACACCTAGCTTCCTAGGTGTCTGGTCTGGCGCTGAGCAGACAACGGTGCCCCTCCCGGGAGCATAGGGAAGGACTAGCAGGTGGGGCAGAGCTGGGACGGGCAGGGGGGCTAGTGTGATGGCAAATATCAGAGGGAAACTTGGAGGCCAAGGTGTAAAGTGGGGTCATCAGGGTAGGGGTGGTAGCAGAGAGCATGGCTGAGATTCCCCGTGGAGAGAATGCAGTCCAGGAAGGGGGCCTAAGGGAGGGGGGGCTGTGAACCGCAGTGGCTGGTTCGGTAGAGGATGAAGCTGCCCAGGAGACAGAGAAGGAGCAGGCAGGAGCAAGGTGGGCCCTCAGGAAGATTTGATACCCTGGAGCAAACATATACAGCGCCTCAAGCTGGAAGCGGGCACCTCCATCAAAGGCGAATGAAAGGTCACGCAGATGGGATTTGAGAACTGCCCCTGGGTGATTTAATCTCCGGGGAACAAACCAGTACCCGTGCAGCTCTGAAATGAACCCCTTCCATACCTGCCTGCCGCCTTTGAAGGACATTCCCCCAGGAGACTGAATGCGGGGACAGCTCTCCAGCTCACATCAGCCCCTGGCCGCACCTGTCCTCACAGAGGAGGTGACATTTACCACATCGTTCCCTTCCTTCTCCTCTCCCACCCCAACCCCTGGGCTGCCTTTCAGACAGCCAACCTTCCTTTAAATAGTAGTCGAGACAAGTTCCAGTTGACGCTGAAAAGTGCATTGTAATTCAAATGGAAAGGCAAAAACTCATTCCCTGGACAGCCCTGGGAAATTACAACAGAAACATCTGTTAAAGGTGGCAACCGGCATGCATCTGAGGGGGCAACTGTATACTATGGACTCTACAATCCCAACTCACAAGTAGGGCGACCTTCACACTGAGAATGTCCTTTCACCGGGTCACCAAGGCTCCAAACTTGAAAAAGACATATTAATTGCTTATATTTTCTCTTCTACACTTTGTCTCTCCATTTCTCTTTGTGGATTTCCCTACATTTATCTCTTTGTCTTTTCCTACCTTTCTCAGTCAATCTCTCTCTCTCTCTGCCCCCCCCCCCACTCACACACACACACACACACACACACACACATGCACGCACGCATCTGACATGCAGTTACCTGAATGGATGTGGCAGCTATTGGTAAAACAAATGGGTTGAATCCAGGCAATGATTAGGTGCCCTGCTCAGTGCCAGGTGAGTGCAACACTGATCTGTCTATTTGCTCATTGGATCCTGTATTTTGCAAATGGGAAAACTGATCTTAGTGACCATCACTCGGTTACTAAGAGATCGAGCTGGGGTTTGAACCAGCATCCAACTGACTGCAAAACCTGGGCTTTATCTCCAAATGAGGAAGTCTGTCCAATTTAGCCAGAGGAAGGCTACCTTCAAACCGAGTCTTAATCGTGATCTAGGACTAATGTATCAAGATCACAGGTAGGGAGAGCACGTGACTATCAGGCCAAAGAGTGAAATGAAGGCCTGAGTGGGAGAAAGGTAACTTTCCCAATGAGAGGTATAGCCAGAGCACAGAGGCACGCAGCGAAAGTACTGAGCTGGGACAAGAGACTCTGAACTTGAAACAGTGCTGGGGGCAGCGGGGGGAGAGAGGAGCCTGACGGTGAACCGTTCCCATGCTCGTCCAGTTGTCCGTAGGGCCCATCTAACTGACCAGCCCAGTGCTCCCAGCCCCTCCAGACCGGCGGGATGCCCAGGATACTGGGTGGTGGTAGAAAGCGCCACCCCCTGCCTGGATCGTTCTAGTCCTCTGCATGCCCAGGGCCCCTCTGGAATCAGTGTCAGACACTGGGCCTGTTGTTCTAGCTTTCGTTTTTCCCTGTTATAGGGAAAAAATACATAGGATATGGACCACCACTCCCGTTTTCTGTATCTAGAGCAGACATTGCTAATTAATCACAGCTTTCTCCTTGACCTGTTACCTCCATACAGTGGTTTAGGCAAACCGCCCCAACCGATCAGAAATGGCACAGGAACCGAAAGCTAGGAGCCACCACGTGATAGTGACTGGGTTCCCTCCCACGTGCCAGCCCCTCCCTCCTTCTAGCTGCCCATCAGTGGATTTAGAGAGTCCATGACAAAAATGAGGAGATGCTGGAAGGCTAAGACAGGCCCATAATGAACAGTGTGGGGGCAGCGCTCACGTCTTGTCCATTATGGAGCCCCAGCGCCTGGCACAAGGTCTGCGGAGGAGAAGCAGGTAGGACATAGCAGTGAACTAGAGGATGAGTGATGATAAACTGTAAAGTTCTGTACCATGTGTGTGGTTATCATCTCTGCCCTGCTTGGCGCCTTCTCCCCACCTCCCCTTCCACGTTTGGCCTCCTGTCAGGGAGCATCCTGGAAGCCCGCCCTCTCTGATTGAAGGGAAATTTGCGGAGTGTCCTTTCACGTGATGTAGAGGCTGCACAGGGAGGAGTGAGAGCTGTGGCCGGGACCAGAATCCTCAGCGGATGCCCACAAGTTTTGTTTTAAGCCACTGCTGCTCATGTACCCACTATGCCAGGCTTCTTACCTACATTACCTCACTCCATTCTCCCCAAAGTCATGCGAGGGAATCACTATCCCTTCTTTACCACAGGAGGAAATGGACCCTGAGAAGTTACTTCCATCCTGGACAGCTGGCAGGGGTTTCAGAAGAGCCACTGGGATGGGAAATCCTGTCTGTCCCACGTCAGCCCTGCTCCTCCGCCCGGCCTCTTCCCACAAGCTCTGCCCCAGCGTGATGAGCTTCCACACCCAGATTCCTCCCAGCTGGCTCCCGGGGGCCCTGGCTCAGCACGTGTCCGTGACGCATACTTGGGGGCTGGGGAGAGACGGGTCACCGACTCCATCTGAGTCCAGAGGTTTCTCGGTTCTTCAGGGGAAAACTCCCCACTCCCTGCTCATCCTCCTTCTCCCCAGCATCACTCCCAAATTAAAAATAAAATGAACGATAGCGTTTAGATTAAAATCAAAGCATAGTATCCAATGTGCAGTCTAAGTGGCCACAGCAGGTGGGGACAGAGAAAGGAGGAAACACACTCAGTGGTTCCGTTGGCCTCAGTGCAGCCCCCTGCTCTTCCTGGGAGTGACATGGACGATGGAGAAAGACAAGTGCTTTTGCACAAGAGGCCAGGAGAAACAGCTCCACGCCACGTCCACCCGGCAAGCTTGTGGCAAACGTGAAGGGGCCTGAGCTTCTCCACGGCATTCTCTCCGCCTCCTCCCCATCTTGCAACAGATACACGGATCTTCCATACAAAGAAGCGAGATTTTTCTGGATGCGGCCATGTGTGCAGATCGGGTGGGAGTTGGCATGAGCGTGGTGCCCTCGGCCCCAAATGCAGGACAAGGCAAATGAGTCCAGCGGCCATAGTGAGCGAAGGCTTTTATAAACACAACCTAATTGTATTACCTCAAACTCTTGAAGCTTATTGCCCTGCTTAATGATGTGTCACATTATTTATAGGGTGGCCCGAGACGAGACTTCAATTGATTTAATGCACTTCCTTAAAGACCGTCATTGTCACAGCCATAAAACAGCTATTCCCAGACAACTCAATTACGTCCCCTGCGCCTATAAACCAACCCGAGCCCCATGCAGCTGCACATGGGAGGCAGAGGGGTGAGACCACACGCCGCGTGGGGTGCAAACCCTCCAGGACAGAGGGAAGGGTTTGGGGGTGCCGAATGCAGGTGGACCAGGCTTCATCTAGTTGGGGAGGAGAGCAGCATAGGAGGCGGACAGGGAGTGTGCACCCCACTCTGCCTCGGCTGGGCTGGGTGGGGTAGAGCCCTGAGATTCTGAGCGAGCTTCCTCCTCTGTCTGGGCCTTAGATTTCCCAACCAGGACCCTGGAGGGCGGCACCCAGCGAGACCGGCAAGGTCCCCTCTGGCTCCGCATTCTGTGGTTTTGAGTTCTGGTTGAGTGTATAGAAGAAGGTGCAAGCACATCTTTAACATCACTCCCCACCCTTTCCGTCCTCCCAGAGCTTTTCTTTTTAATTCAATGATAATAATAATAACAATGATAAGAGGAAACAATCCTAGCCCTGTTCCTCATCAGCTGTTTGTCTACGGGCACTTGATTTGGCATATCTGTGACTCCTTTTCTCAACTGAGAAATGGGGGTAAGAATACCTGGACCTAATAAAGTACATAATGCATGCCTGCGATATTTCTATCTTTCTCAAAATGCTATTACATACACCACTTCCCCTTAATGTGGGAGGTAGACAAGAATAGCTACCTATGCACCCATCTCACAGGAAGGGAAAACTGAGGTGGGAAGGGAATGACTTTTGCAAGGTGAGTGGCGGAGATGGGTCTCCATCTGGTTTGGGAAATTCCAATTGTGATAATAGCTGGGAGTCCAAGGGTAAAAGGATCTGGTGACGTCCCTGCGGATAAAAGCCCCTCCTTGGGAAGGATCTGAAACTGCCCCTCCGCCATGCGACCATCCCTCCCAGAGGAGCTGGGGCTCTTCTGGGTTCTTCCAAGAAGCCTGGAGAGAAGATGTCCCCTCCTCTTGGCCCTCCCCAGACAGTTGTTTGAAGGAGAGAGAGTGGGAAACAGGGGCCTGCCTAGACCAGGGTTCTGGAATCCAGAACACCTCCTTGGGGCTCAGAAAATGCTGTCTGGAAGCATCTGAGCAATCGTCACACGGCCCCTCATTCTGTCCAGGGTGAAACTGAAGCCCAGAGAGGGGCAGGGGCTTGCCTAAGGCCACACAGCTTCTATGCGGCAGAGCCAGGATTTCGCTCCCGGGAGCTCAGGTATTTCCCCAGCTGGCCGCCACCTCCACTAAGCCCTCCAGGCTTACCTTTCTGGTACTGGAGCCACAGCTGCTGCTGGACCTTCTTGCTGGGGAAGTGGATGACGCAGGTGAGCTCGGAGCCATAGAGGGCCTCCGCAAGGTAGTGGGAGCCGTAGTGCTGGATGAAGGTCAACAGCTCCTCCCGGCTGCTCTCCTTGCTCAGGATCTTGAGCACGTTGGTGAAGCCTGGACAAAGGAGGAGCATGGGAAGGGGGTCAGAGCCTGGAGGCTGGTGGCTGGCAAGTTCTAAGGGGCAGGGAGCTCTTTCCAGCGTCGGCCTGATGGCTGCACCAGTCCAGACAGGAGCAGCATCCCTCACTGACGTAGCAAAGGCTGCTCTCTCTGGGGGACACACCAGACCCTGGGCTACAGCGTGGTGACCTCGATCACAGGGGCCTGAAAGTCTCAACCAGGAAGTCAAAGCTGGTGTCTACCGAGTAGCTAAGGTCTATCGGGCACGCGGCCAAACATTTCACCACCGCCCCCCCCGCCCCCCACCCCCCCGTCTAACTTAACCTCAGCGTCCATTCTGCAACCCACCACAACCACCCGTTGTGTCGATGAGCAAGTCCAAGTTCAGAGACTGTACATTAACTTGCCTGGGCCCTCTGGCCACAGTAGCTAGGATTCCAACCACTTCTGCTGTCACTCCAAAGTGCATGCACTTTCCGCTGCCCCCCATAGTCCAGGGCTTGACTGTCCATGGCTGGAGGCCTGGGGCCGCCTGGCTGGAGCTCAGCAGATACTTTGCATCCCCTTTCCTGGTCCCTGGCTCAGTCCCCTGTCACGCCACCTCTCTTTCTGCCTCAGCCTTGGCTTCCCTGAACAGCCATATGTTCTCTTGCCATGGAGCTCTTGGTGGCTCTGCTGTCCTTAGTCCTAAGCCAGAGTCCGAAGTCCGCAGGTCCCAGCATGGGGCCTACACGGCAGTCACTCAACAGCCGCTGTCCTTCTTCCCTCTACTTCCCCCAACAGCCAGGTCACCAAGCTATGCTTCCAGGAGCCTCCAGACCTTCCTGGGTTCTGGCTCCTGGATAAAGCCAATGACCTCATATGAGATTTAGGCCTCCAAGGTCATGGCCCATGAGCCACCTGCATCAGGCTTTACCTCCAGCTTAGTCAGTGTTCTTTTTTTTTTTTTTTTGGTTAATCTTCATCTGAGGATATTTCTCCATTGATTTTTAGGGAGAGCAGGAGAGAGAGGGAAAGACAGAAACATCCATGTGAGAGAAACACATCAATAGGTTGCCTTCTGCATGGCCGGGGAGGAGCCCGCAACCGAGGTATGTGCCCTTGACCAGAATCGACCCCGGGACCTTTGGGTCTGCAGGCCGACGCTCTATCCACTGAGCTAAACCAGCTAGAGATTTTTAAGATTTTTTTTTATTGATTTCAGAGAGGAAGGGAGAGGGAGAGAGAGAAATATCAATGATGAGAGAGAATCATTGATCGGCTGCCTCCTGCATGCCCCACACTGGGGAATCGAGCCCACAACCCGGGCATGTGCCCTGACCAGGAATCGAACCGTGACCTCCTGGTTCATAGGTTGATGCTCAACCATGGAACCATGCCAGCCAGGCTGAGTCAGTGTTCTTATTTCTCCTGAATTTTACATAGGATTTCTACTATCCTTCATTTTTGCCCCTCATATTCCCTCCAACACCCACATCACACACACACACACACACACACACACACACACACACACACACACACCACTGCCCCCAGCCCCACCTGGATGGCCTCCCTACTTCCTGCCTAAGTCCCACCTGTGCTTCAAGGCCCTGGGAAGTCCCCCCACCCCTAAGGAATCTTTCTCACATCCTCATCAGGGAACCTATCTCTGCACCTTCAACACACTCCACCTTGCAACAGAAGCTCTGTCCCATGGGTCTCTGAGTCTGTACATCCTTCCCCACCCCCACCCTAGCCAGGCCCACGGCATCATCCCACAGGCACACCAATCACCATTACTCCAAGAACCACTAACTCCAGGCCAAATCAAGTAAAATGTAAACGAACAAGCTCCTTTTCAACATTAAAAAGGAGCTCCGATTTGCCAACATTTGATTTACAAGGGGGTTCTCAGGAGCATCGTTAGTGATTAATTAACACCGGTCCACCTTTGTAGTTCCAACAAGAACATCTCAGTCTTACTCAAAAGTGCCATGTGAGGGTGTGGGTGGTGGGAAAACAGAACGGGGCTCCAGGAACGGGTGCCTGATTAGAACAACCTCTCTCCATCAGCCCGTTAACTCGTGCAGCCGGGTAATTAATACCGCGGTGTTAATGACGAGATGGTGCCTGTAGGTAATAAATAACATCATGCAGATGCCCGGGGCTCTTTACCCGGCAGACAGAGCTGCACTGGAATCCCTGCTCTGCTCCTGTGCTGCCCCTCACTAGCTGTGTGATCCTGGGCAAACGGCCTCACCCCTCTGACCCTCAGTTTCTTTCTCTGAAAAATAATGGAATAAAAAATGCCTTCCTTGCAAGACACTGAAAGATAGAAAATTTTATAAAGTTCTGGCTGATGTCAGAAGTAATTACTATTTGTGCTTCTCAGAAAGTGAAGTCCTCCGAGTCGCAGGCTAAACGAGTAATGTTACTGGAAAAGGGCACTGAACAAGGAAAGCTAAGCAACGAGCTGGTGGATAATGAGGCGATGTTGGGACAGTCACCCAGTGGCAGTGTGAGGAAGGGTCAGGGTACAAAACCTGAGCTCAGGCCCATATTCCCAAAGTCCTTCTCTCATTCCTTGCTCTTCAGTTGTTCTTTATATATTTTTTACTAGTGGCCCGGTGCACGAAATTCATACACATTAAAAGGGAATTAATTAGAGGAAATATTTTAATATTGCTATTTTGTTTCCATCTCTCCATCCCAGTCTCTCCCAGTCTCTGTCTCTCTTTGTTTTTCTCAGCAGTCCTCCAGGCCTCCCTGCCTCCCTGCCTCCCTGCCTCCCTCTTCCTCTTTCCCAGCTGGGAGGGGGCAGGGCCAGTGGGGGCAGCTCCACCCTCTGCCCACCCTGGGGCCTCATTCTGAGAGAGGCTCTGAGAGCGAGCTGGGAGGGAGGGAAAGAAAGGGAGAAAAGGCTGTGAGCTGGTGGGTGCTGTGTGTGTCTGTGCGTGTGTGCAGTTGTGAGTGTGAGTGCCGGCCCCGCCTCCCCAAGCCCTGTCCCTGCTGCAACAAGTCCCCACCCACCAGAGCCTGCTGTGCACGCAGCCTGGGCGTTAGGTTGAGCCTTCGGTCGATTTGGATGAGATGGACCCTGGTTCTTTATATATATAGATTCCCTGATCAAACATGAGCACCAGCCACGTGCTGATTCTCAGTTACAGAGAATACAGAAACGTTGGACCCCAGCCCTAGCCGCGGTCTCAGATCTGTGGGTGAGACAGGAGGACTCAGACAGGAATCAAGTACTTGATGTAGGTCATTGCCCACAGGGAATTTCTCGAGTTATTCTGAGGGGGATGGGGAATGTGGGAGGTGCCGCTGAGTATTGCAGGATTCCGTGGGAAGGAGATCCAGATAGAGGGAACAGCATGTGCAAAGTCACAGAGGCATGACAGAACATGTCCCATTTGGAGAGCTACAAATGATCACCTTCAGCTCAGGCTCAGGGTTCATGTGGGTAACTGTGGGCAATGCGTGTGTGCGCGTACGTGTGTGTGTGTGTGTGTGTGTGTGTGTGTTGGGGTGGTATGTGTTACTGTTGTATAGAAGATGAGCAGGGAAAGAAATCAGCCAGGAGGAGAGACCGGAAAAATCAGTGCCTGAGAACTTACACTTGAACTCTTTCAAGTTCATAAGTGGGACCCATTGTCCTTTAGCCTCTCCCTCCATTCATCTTTCCACACACTCTGTGCTCAGACACTCCTTCCTCCAGGAAGCCTCTCTGGGTGGCTCCCTCTCCTGTGCCTCGGCTGTCCCATTACTGGGTAGATGTCACGGTCTGTCTGCTGCCTGTCTGCTCTCCCTGTGAGCTCCTGGATGGCAGCTCCCCAGGGCCAGCATAGGGCCTGGCACACCCAAGGTCCTCGGGAACTAGTGCTGAATGACGCCAAATCCCCTGGCTGCGCGGGCGCGGTCCTCACCTGCCGAGAGGGTGATGGTGCTGAGCTTCACGCGGTACAGGTTGCTTCGGACCCTCCACTGCTGCACCATGGGGTAACCCATGGCCTCGTCATACCTGATGTCTCCTGGGGAGGGAACAAGAGGGCCACGTGAGCCTAGCATTAGAGGCCTCGCATCACACTGCTGCCCGGCATCCCTGGGGTCCGGGGGACGGCACCTCTTCTAAAGAGGCAGGCGCTGGGCCTTGGGTGCGGGCTCTCACTCGGGCTGACAACTTTATCTGGACCCCAACTCCAGATCTCATCCTGGCCTCTGATTTCAACTGCCTTTCATCTCTGCCCGGCAACGTGTGAGGCCCTTTTACCCTACAAACAAGACTGGCTTTATGGGCTCACCGGGCCCTTTTTGGCAACATGCCATGGGAAACCAGACATCTCAGTGCCTCAGTTTCCCCGTCTGACACTGCTGCTACCTACGCTGACCTGACTCCTTAGGCACATTGTGAGACTCAAGTGAGGGAACGAGAAATGCTATACGTAAGGACCAAGGTCACTAAAGTACAGCCCGTTCACCACGGATCACCAAGGGCTGCTTTCACGGGACGGCCCCAGCGGTGAGAAGCTGTGATGTAGACCATTGTTTCCCACTGTGGAAACATGAGAGGGTCACAGGTGTCCTGCGAAATGCACATGTGAATAAAAGCTTCCCATTTCAAGACAGACTGAGAAACACTGGCTAAGCAAAGTCAAATGCTTCGTTTTAAAACACTGTGGTTTCTCAGAACTTGAATAGATTAATAAGCATGTAAAAGCTCCCAGCAGGTAGGGTATAGCATTCTGCAAACCTCTTTAACTACAGAATCCCTTTTCTACAGAGAACCCGCTGGAACTCACATTCCATGGAATACATTTTGGGGAAAGAAAAGTATAGAGCAAAAATAAACAACAACAACAAAAAACACAACAAAATGTTAGCAAGCGGCTAACTTTGGTGGTGGGTGTATAAAGATTCTTGCTTCCTGATTTATATTCGTCTCCATTTTCTAAATCTCCTACTCGGAGGGTTTCAAACTCTGTTATAATCAGAGAAGAAACACATGAATAAGGCTGGTCACATCCGCAGTTATTACCGCTGTTGTTGTGTCTCCTCTGCCAGCGGCAGGCGCGTTTGCCATCCTTTCCCTTTGCCCCCTGGTGCGGAGGCGCTTAAAGAGATATTTGATACCGAGATTAAAATGAGAATCTCATTGGAACCAGTGATTTCTTTCTGGACATTACTGCAGTATTAAAGTTGTCCATTATTGTCAACTTCCTGTTTTCCTCCTCAGCCTTTTCAAAAGTAATGCACTTTTTTCTTAGAGGCTTTCATTTTTAAGTAAAATATTCATGGCCCCCAAAGATCTGCCCACTGGAGCAAGGCTGTTTTGTTATAAATATGCCCTCTCTGTCCTCTCCTTCCTCTGCAGGGGCGGGGAGAGGCGGGCGGTGGGAGGGGCAGGTTGGGGCCGTGTGTGGAGTCAGGGCAGAGGCCACAGTCTGCACAGGAAAACCAGACACCAGTGCCCAGCAGCCTCTGCCCAGCTAGTCATGCTCATCCTAGTCCAGACCAAGCATGGAGGGTGTACTAGTATTGGCAATTGGGCCCCATCCCCAGGAGAGGGGGCAGACATAGGAATGCAGGCTGTGGATACAGCTCGTCCACTGGGTGGCGTGATGTCCAAAAGAAAAAAATAATACTGCTGCTTCTGGTTACCGAGTCTTACCCCATTGCTGGGCCTCCCCCATAAGAGGTCATCACGCCACCCCTCAATTCCCCCTGCCCCAGGTCCTTTCTGGATCCCAACATGGAATAAAGGTCTTCCTGTGGGAGGTCAGCTACTTGAGGGTGACCCCGTGGTCTGCATTTCTCACTTCTGCAGAGCCTAGAACAGCGCCTGATGCACAGCGGGCTCTCAATAAGTACCGATGCACTGGCTCATTCACACTCACAAACCCAGCCCTGTTCTTCCTTCACTCCCGAGTCCATCTCACCTGACTCTCTCCTGGCTCCCCACCCAGGGATCAGAGGTAGAATGAAGCTCTGGGATGGGGGAAGGTATTTTTTCCTGGTAATGAAAAAAATAACTCTTGAAATGTAACCTTTCCTTTATAGGACACTTCCAAAGACCCCCGGATCAAAACAAATAATCCTACAAATTCATACCACTCATGTGCCAAGCATTTTACCTCCATGATCTGCAATTCTCACCGTAATCCTGAAGAAAATCACTGTTATGCCCCATTTTTCAGAAGGAGAAACTGAGGCTCAGAGAGGGAAACTGTCCAAGGAGACACAACAGTCAGTGACAGAGCCAGGTCCTTTCCATTGGAGCATAGTAGTCCCTTCCCCCAATGGACCGTGGCAATGTGGCTTTAACAGGTGGTGAACTCCCCGTCACTGGGGATATGCAAGAGGGATAATCACTCAGCAGAGATAGTGGAGACCTGATTTCCTCATCAGTAGCAGGAGTAGAAGCCCTTTACAGTTTGTGAGCTCTGAAATTCTATAATCTTACGAAATTCTATGAAACATAAGAATTAAGGAAGGGACAGCAATTTTTAGACACGTTTTACAAACATTTTTACATCCATGATTTCGTGGGATCTGCAACTGGGCTCCTCCCTGAAGTAGGACAGGTCACGGAGGTGATGCGCATGTGGATACAGCATCAGCTTTGGAGTGAAGACCAACTGGACTTAAATCCTGACTGGACTTTGGGCGAGTTAGATGACTTCTTTAACCATTAAAGGGGGACACCAGCACCCTTACAAGGTGACAGGGATTAACGCCTGCACAGTGCCAGGCCCCAGGAGGCTCTCAACCCCGGGGGTTCTCCCCGTCTGTGATGAGAGGACTTGTACAGGTTTCCGAGAGCCTGCGAGTGCTAGAGGGGAATGGACCTAACCCTGCCTTGTTTCAGGGCTTCCCTGGGGGACGGTTTCGCTCTCCGCAGGATGGCTCAGTCCTCCCTCACCTGGCCATTCTCCCTGGCCTGTAGCTGAGAAACAATACTGTCCCAAAAAGGCCGATCAGGGCCCTTCCACCTCAGAGAAGTCCCCAGGAAAAGGGGAGCGGAGGAACCAGGAAAGACGCTGAGGCGGGAAAGGCATTGTGGGGCAGGAACATGGAGCCTCGGGAGCAGCTGTGAAAGGTTGCTTTCCATAACGGGGAGAGAGCTGCAGAGCTGAGAGAGAAGGACAGACGCCCGGAGCCATGGCACCAGGTTCCAGTCCCAGAAGATTTGCTGTGTGCCCTTGGGCAGGTCCCTTCACCTCTCTGAGTCTAGATTCCTCCTCTATAAAACGGGGAAAATCATACCCACCCTACAGACGGCTCAGCGCCGATGGTCAAAGACAAGCTGGGTAACTGAAGTGCTTTCAAGTGAGAGAGGCTGGGGGGGGGTCCCCACTGATTTTACTTTAGAATGATTTAAAAATGAACCTCATGAAATAAGCCAGACAGACAAATACTACATGATCTCACTTACATGCAGAATCTAACAAGTTGAACTTGTAAAAGCAGAGAGCAAAATGGTTTGGGGGTGGAGTGGAAAAAATGGGGAGATGTTAGTCTAAGGGTAGAAGGTCTGGTTTTGTAGGATAAGTAAACCCCGGAGAGCTAACATACAGAATGGTGACTAAAGATATTCTAGTATTTACTTGAAATTTGCTAAGAGAGTGGACCTGGGCTGGGCTCAGAGTCCAGAGTCTCAGGCAAGCCCCCAGTTCTGTACATAGTAGGAGCCCCCCAAATGGCAGGTCCCTTGCACACCCCATCCCTCAGGAAGGCGGAGGTCTGGTGGGGCCTGCCTGGGAGGTGCTGAGGACTGATCACACCTGAGACCAGGTGTGCGGGCAGGGAGGCTGGGGAGGGGTCCGCACGTGTCTTACCAGTGAGCAGCTGAAGGTCCGGGAGGGGCTCGGAGAGGACCCCCCGGCACTGCTCCTCCACCGGCAGCGGGATCACCAGCAGCCCGTCGGCCAGCTGCGGGAAGTCCTTGATGAAGTTGTTCTCCCTGTGGAGAGGAGCAGAGAGACTGCCAATGGAGGGAGGGGAGGCTGCGGGCTGCAGGGCAGGGAGGCAGGGAGCCGTGGTCCGAACAGAGGCAGCTCAGGAGTGGGCAGGTGCCTTTGCTGCGCTACCACTGGCTTCCGGATCCCAGCCCTGAGAACATGCTATAATGACAGGCTCTGGCATCTGGCAGGCGGGGCTCAAACCCTGCCACCACTTACCAGCTGTGCCATCTTGAGCAAGCTAGGGGGTCCTCTTAGAACCTCAGTTTCCTTGTCTATAGAGGAGGACCTCAGGGTAGTTATAAACACTTCATGGGCTAACCCTGCCAACTGCTGAGGACACAGTCTGAGGCTCTAGAAACCGCGAGTTTGGCTCCTAAACGCCCATTGCATAAGCGATGCCGATGGTGAAGGAGGCGGGGAGGGAACGGAGGGCAGCATGCAGTGCTTGAAGAAGACGGGTGAGGGCAAGCTGGAGAAAGAACGGCTTGAACAACTGGGTGTTTGCCTGTTAAAGTAGAAGGACCCCACGAGATCTTTGGGATCAATCTCCTCCTTTTAGAGATGGGGAGGGCAACCGAGGCCTGGAGAAGGGCAGTGACTTGCTCAACAGCAACCAATGGGTTATCCTCAAACCCAGGTCTCCCGACTCCCAGGCTAGTAACCCTCCTGCCTTCACTTCTCCAGGTGCCTCTGTCCCTTACCTGGAGGAAGAGATACAGAAGGCAGACCTCTGGGTGACCCCAGGTTACTGAGCCCTGAATAAAGGTCGTCTTAAGGCGGGGCGGGGGGGGGGCAGTAACAGTGCATCACAGGGAGGAAGGCTTTAATCTTCTAGACAACAGACCTGCCTAAAACCAGAGCCGCCTGCCAAGAGAGGGGGTGAGCTTCCTGCTTCTGGGAGTATGCAAGCTGAAACCTGATAGCCACTTGACATGGACAGCATCAAGGGCATTTCTGTATTAAAATTTGACTTTTGAGCCCTAACCAGTTTGACTCAGTGTCAGTGGTTAGAGCCTTGGCCCGCAGACTGAAGCGTCTCAGGTTCAATTCCAATCATAGGCATGCACCTCAGCTGCAGGGTCCATCCCCGGCCCTGGTCACTTGCGGGAGGCAACCAATCGACGTGTCTCTCTCACATTGATGTTTCTCTCTGTCTCTCCCCCTCCCTTTCACTCTCTCTAAAAATCCATGGGGAAAAATATATGCTCAGGTGAGGATTAACAACAACCAAAAATCTGACTTTTGAGATCCTCGGAGTTAGAAACACTGATAATGATCTGGAGGAGGAGGAGAAAGAAGAGGAGGGGAAGGAGAAAAACAAAAAGAGGGGATGCTTAGCACTTCATTTGCAACCTTGAAATGAGGTTCAGAAAGAGGAAAACAGAATCTGGGAGGCAGCCCGAGGGCACCCTCAGGATGGCTGGGGGCCTGCTCAGGATGCTCCTTCTTGGAGGAAGGTGTCCCCCCTGAGCTTCCAGGAATCAGGGGTGGCGGGGCGGGGGGTGTTTTGAGGAAGCACCTGAGAAAGATGGAGAAGATGGAAGGGTGGGAGTTCACAGGCCAGGCTGGGAAGGAGGCAAGGACAAAGCAGAAGTGACAAGGCAGCAGCAGCAAAGACCAAGGAGGGTCCCTCAGGACTGGGCCCCTCCGTGCCACCTGGGCGACAGCCGTCCTGTGAGGCCTCTGCCAGCAGAGGGCGCCCTGGGCCTTTGCATCAATCAGCTCTCTCTGGAGGCAAAGCAGGGATGGGAGCCTCAGCCAGGGGGGAAGTTCTGCACTGGAAGCCACAGTGGGAACCCGGGCAGGACAGCGGCTTTGGAACCCACCCGCCTGGGATGGGTGTCGGAGGCTGGCAGGGTGCGGGCTGACCCTCAGGCTCAGGCAGAAACCAAACTCAGGTTCTCAGAGGTTGTGAGTAAGTGTGTGTGAGTGAGTGTGTGTGGGGGAGATGGGGGGGGGGGTGGGCGGAGATGAGAGTGTGTGTGAATAAGACTGTATGTGTGTGAATGAGACTGTGTGTGTGAGTGAGCGTGTGTGAGAATGTGTGTCAGTGTGAGCGTGTGTGTGGTAAAAACTACCAGGCAACTAACTAATCCTAATACTAGGAAGAGAGGAAGGAGAATGAGCAATACTGATTGATCGATCATATTTGTTAATCATCAGCTCTGTAGTGTGCCAAGATATGTATGTCTAAGAGAAAACTATTTTGTTCCCAAGCTGTATATGAAGAAATGGATGCTCAGGGAGGTTAAGGGACTTGTCCAGCTGAGGTTCACAGGTAGGAAGTGGCGGTGGCCTAGACCCCACGGTAGCAAACAGGGCTCCTAGCTCAGTGCCTGGCACTCGGGAAACAGGCTCAGTGAATGGATCGGAGCCTGGGCTCTGGGTCACTGGGTTAACCAGGCCGTTCTTGTTTACAGTCAGAGCGGACTGTGCTTTTGTGCCCATGACTGTGGCTGCATGCACACGTGTGTGTGTGTGTGTGTGTGTGTGTGTGTGTGTACGTGCATAAGTGGACAATGTGTTTCAAACAGCAACGGGGCCACTATTCCTTCGATAAACATTCCCCCCAAACATCTACAAAACAGTTCCTTCTTGACTGACATTATATGGAAACAATAGATCAAATTTTAAAAATAGACCCTGGGCCCCGTGCACTCGACAACTCTGGGAATGACAGGCCTCACTCATCCCACATGTCCAGGGAGACAGCCTGGGCAGTCCAGGGAGGTGCCTCCACCCGTGAGGACCAGGAGAGAATGCAAGCGCTGCAGCAGGTCTGCAAGGCCTCCCACCCAGCCCTGCGTCCCCTCCTGCCTACTTCCCTGAGCACTGCCTGGCCCACCCTTTCCAGCTGCACCGACTGTCCCTGCATTCCTCTCACAGGCCGTGCTTGCTGCCTACAAAAGAGCCTCCTGAGGTTTTGCCCTCTCTCTGGAGAGCTTTTGCCCCCACCCCCTGCACCTGGCCAACTCCCCCTGATCCTTCCGGCTCCTACTGACCCTTCCGCCCACACATTATGTCTCTGCCTCTGAGGAATCTTCAGGGGACCAGTTCTCCCGTCGCATTCTCTCAGAAGCACCTTGCTGCCTTCTTCTGGCAAGAGCTTTCGTCGGTTCTCACTAGAGGGGGCTCATGGGGGACCTTATTTGGAAACTTTAACATTCGCCCTGGGACTCTGAGTCCAGGGG